AGCTCTCCTTGTCCACCTTTTCTTTTCCATTACAGGGACAGTTACAGTAGTTGTTGTGGTCTGGGTTCCTGTCTCAACCATCATCTTCTCAAGCACAGTTTGGGTCCCTGCCTCGGTCACAGTCCTCTGAGAGTGTAGAACCATGGCTCGGTAGGCACAGGCCAGGCCCCAGCACAGGGCCAGAAGCTGCTGGTTTTCATCAGCTTGGGCAAGGCACCCCTCTATCAGCTGACGGGTCAGTTTGTCAGGGTTGATTACCTGCTCAGGTGTAAACTCCCAGGCAATGGGAGGTGATAACCGCCCTAGGAACCTGCCCAAATCCTTCCACACACCCTGCCACCCAGGAACTGACTTCTTCGGGGAACATTTTGGTATCACCTCACTCAAAATTTGTTTTCTCGTACACCACCATGACACCAGATTCCACAAAGCCCATGATATGCTTACAGTACTAATTAAACAGATCGTGTAAGGATGAGCAAGGACTGTGGCAGCCTGCATAATAAAAGAATCCACATCAATCCCGGGTAGGAAGAGAGAGATGTATTCCCTCATTGTCTCCACAAGATAGCTCCCCCAGCACAGCAAGGCCATCAATGCCAGGGAAAAGCACAGAGCCATTGTTTGTATTAACATGTTCCCAAACTCAGCAAAATAAAGAGATAAGCAGTGCAGCTGACAAACTGCGTTCCCCACAGGAGCTTGCTACTGGATAACTAATACCGCTATAGCATGCAATATATATAAATAGGTGTTGTTGTCTCACCCCACATTAGGCACCAGAAAGGGCTGTGGTGTGTAGAGGACTTGTGGTGGGTGTTGGGCTGGATGCCAGGTGCCCACCAAGCCACACTATCACGCCCCCCTTCTCAGCTGGACAAGGGAGAGAAAAATAAGATGGAAAACGACTCGTAGGTTAAGATAAGGCAGGTCAGCAAAGCAAAAGCAAAAGGTTGAGGATGCACAAGCAAAGGAAAAAAACCCCAAAGATTTTATTCTCTACTTCCCATCAGCAAGTGATGTCTGGCCACTTCCTGGGAAGCAGGGCTTCAGGACACGTAGCAGTTGCTCTGGAAGGCAAACGTTGTGAATAATGAATGTTCCCCACTTCCTCCTCCTTTTCCTAGCTTTTATATCCAAGTAGACGTCATATGGTATGGAATACTCCTTTGGTCAGTTTGGGTCAGCTGGCCTAGCTGTGTCCCCTCCCAAGACCTTGCCCACTGCCAGCCTATTGATGTGGGGGCAGAATGCTGGAGAGACAGCGCTGAGGCTGTGCCAGCGCTGCTCAGCAGCAGCCAAACACTGCAGTGTTATCAGCTCCTTTCTAGCTCCCAATGCAAAGCTCAGTCAGACCCAATGCCGGATCTTAAACCACAAAATTAACCTACAATTCTCAAGAGCTGGAAATTTAAATACAGGTACCTGTTTTTAAAAGTTTGGTATCACCCACCTTTCTTCTCCTTCCACCACTGGCAAGCTGTTTGTAAAGTGAACCAAAAGAATAATTTAACCTGGGAATCTTGGCTGCAACTGGGGATGCCACCAGCCCCTCCCACGACTGTCCTGGCCACTAATGCAGCTTCTCTGCTGCGGGACAGGAGAGAGATTCCTTTGATTTTTTTAATTACTAACAAAAATAAATGCATACTGAGAAAAGTAATCTTGGAAATGTAATCCTAAACTCAGGAGAAAACCTTAATATTGTTTACAGCATTTCCTATACATACTGCATTTGCTTTGCTGCTCTTCCTAACCGTATCATTCCTCCTGCTTGTTAAATTTGGGACTTCAGTAACAGCTGGGAAGGTAGGAAACTGCATGGATCATTATTAACTTGATTTGTTTTTGACATTACAGTACTCACGTTACTCTTTCAATACTCAACACTACTTTCACACTCAGAAATTATTATCTCTTTTGAGCAATTCGTGCACAAGGGTGGGAGGGCTTTATGTGCATACACCAAATAGGCCATGAGAATGATGATAAATCTAACTAAAACAACTCAAATTCACTACAAAGATATTGTCATGAAGCATTTTTCTTATAGATTTTTTTTATCATATTCTGCGAAACAGCTTACAGTATTTTTATCTCTTTCCTTGTTGTTACAATTTAAAAGATTAACTAAAAATATCCTATGAAAAAATTAAAACAGTGGAGCAGTCCAATTAGATTGTATTTATTCTGCACGCTCCAAGAAATTAGGATACAGGTTATCAGCAACGGTGCTTAATTAGTAAGAAACCTATTTAAACCTAATGATACGCATGGCCAAGGTTGCTGCTGCTCAATGGAGACAGCAGTTCTGCTTAATTGGGATGCTTTCAGATGGTATAATTGTTGAAACTGATGCTCTGCTCTGCTGATTAGGCTTGCAGTGGTTCTCTCACTCTCTCCCCAACTTGCTGGAAACATTTTGCAGTTGGAGCTGACTGGGGATGCCTTTACTTCCCAACGAGTGCCTCCAGCACCAGTAATGCACTGCCATCTGCCCCACTGCACAGAAAATCTGCTGCTGAGGACAGGGACGACTCAGGGGCGAGGCCTGCTGTCAGCTGCCTTGAGTGTTGAACCAGTGCTTTTCTGTAGCTGGAAGGACTTTATCATCAGCTCACGGATTCAGCAACACAACACAGACATACCTGCTACCCCTATCACACAGAAGAGCAGCAATTACAGCTGCCTGAATGATTTCAATGAGAAGTTTAAGAAGTTTGTGACTCCTGCTGCTGGGACTTCCTCCTCAGCAAACTCCGGATGATTTTTATACTTTGCATTAATGCCACAACACCTGAGAGCTGTTTACTAACCCAGGGGAAATGGAGATGAAGCCTTAGCTCAGCTCCTAGAAGAGCCTCCCTCTCACTCAAACCTTTTGTTGGCAGCCCCAGTGGGAAAGAGTCACCAAGAGAGTCACATGTTTTGTCAAGCCGGGCAGATCATCTCCCCAAATCACTCTGCTGGGCAAAATAAGGCAGCTTGCAAAGTAGCTGATCTGTCACACAGAAATAAAAAAAATTGGCTCAAAAGATGGAAGTTTCTTGTGGCCATTACATTCACTGTGAATAACTAAGGCAGCACTTCAGATGAAGTACCGAAGCCAGGACAAAGTTTGCAGTCTGCAGCACTTGGCAGTGTGTCAGTACAACACAAGATGGCTCCACTTCCATCAACAAAGAGCTTAGTGCCACTGCAGAGTCCCTTGCATCCAGCTAATCGTGCCCATCGACTGAAGCCAGACCTGTCAGGCTGTCCTGGGCCAGTCCACTCAGCCCTCAGGACCAGAAAGCAGAACAGTGCTGCCGCCTGCAACAGCTCGAGTTGGGAAGGTAACACAAGCCTGGGAGAAAATGTGGAAAGGGACATAACTCCAAGCTTCTTTAGAAGATTCTTCTAAGATCAACAGCTTTCTTCAGCAAAAGACTGAAAAATGGGAGACCATGGCCAGCCTTCAGTAGCTGGAATTATTTAAGGGCAGTGTAAATATAGATCTACTGATCCATCTATAGCTTAACATTTTTACTATCCTCTTTTGCATTTTTGTTGTTTCCTTCTGGCTTTTCTCATCCAAAATATCCTGCAGAAAGTGTGCAGACATTTTGTGAAAAAGGCTTGGTTTGAAACCTTGTCTGCACTAGCTCCTATATGAAGTTTCACTGGGGTTTTGCTAGTACAGTCCTGCTGCTAAGTATTGATGCTCTCAGCATAGGCTGGTGGGAAAACGACGAACAGCTGAGGCAGAAAAGACCAGAAACATCAGCATCAGCCTCTACAGCAGCAGGTGGAGGGAGAGAGGAGTGGGAAAGACCAGTAAGTGTGTAGGGAGAATGGAAAACCAGAAGGCTTTAGAGAAAAGATGAAAGGAGAAGGAAGGGTAAAAACGTAGAAAAATTACACACCAACCCTAAACCTCGGGAGCAGAGACTGATTCGGAACAGGCACTTGCCCTGGGCACAGGTGGCTCAGCGTAACATAACAGTCTGTAGGGACTGGAAACAAGAATGCAGATGCACACACTTAGACCACCCATTTGGAAATAAAACAGGACTACCTGTCACTCTGAGCATGTCTGTCTGGCAGGGAATATCCATGCAAGGTTATGCAGTGCATTTTGGGGCCTGTCACTACATCTTTAGAAAACACTGAACTCCTTCAGCTGTCTTGTGTTTGGCTAGATGCAAAACCTTACTTCCCACAGAAGGATCTTCTGGAATACATGGGGGGAAAAGCATCATTCCAGGTTCAGGAAACAAAACGCCACCATTATACACAGAGAAGTCTGTGTCCTATAAAAAAACCAGCCCCAGGCTCCCACCTTTTTACGCGATGGATCTTTTGCCTGATCCACTGGATTTCACAACCTTCACTTCCATGGCCCTCCTACTGTTGGTTCCCTTCCCTTCTCACCTGGATGAAGGCCCAAAGGGTGACAGGGAGATGAAATCTGCTCAGCCAGAATGTCGGCCCCTCCAGCCATGCCGGTGAAGGAAACAGTCTGACCAAGCTTCACTATCCATCCAAGGGACAGAGCCCTGGATACCTGGCAAAGCACCTGGGGCACAGCAAGTACATTTTTGTATGGGGTGACCATGAAGAGTAAAAAGGCCTGCCCTGGAACAGCTGCAGTAATACTTTGAAAATGCCAAAACACAAAAGATCCCAATAACAAACATGGAGTCATCTATATCCACAGTGAAAAAGGCATTAAAACAACTGAACAAGACCAGCTCTGTACTATTGATTTTCAGATAACTGTCTGGGTCTGGGAGTGACTGCAAGCACAAAATGAGAAGATTTGGATGGAAAGTTAAATGCTATCTTGGCTCTCCTATGACCTAGCTGGCCATACGCTCTATCAAGATTTATTATCAGAACTGCAATTTGGTTACCACTACAGCAGTTTCAGGCTTACCAGCAGAAGCCTTGGAGCTGCTGAAGTTAAAGATGAACTTCTTGTTTTTTTGACCTACATGAATGATCATTAAACAAGATTGTTAAAGAAGCAAACTGTCAAAGTCATTTCATTTATTTCTTAATATCACATCTGTACAATTTTCATACATACAGCAGGAAATGCACATTGGTTACACAATGGCATTTGGCTGCATTTCCAAGTATAATACAGTAAGTGCAACTCCACTTAAAATGTACATTTATACAACTTAAACAAATTAAGGATTGCTACACCACTATCTGTGACAGTATAAAGCTTCATTTATGTTATGTCTCATTACTAAACCACTTCCCGGTTAAATATAAAACATATTCAATCATTTTAAAATGGCCTTTGTGGTACCCGGCCAGCATATAAAATATTTGTTGTTTAAAATTTAACCATTAACTTTTTGTTTTAAAAAATAATCCTCTAAGCCTATTTAAACATTTGCTATTGAACTGTTATACTGACACTTTGTAGCAGGAACCAAATTTTACCCTCCTTTTGTTTGCTCTTGCTTATCACCAAAAGAAGTTACATTTGCAATGTATTGCAGCTTTATTCAGATACAGCCAGGTGGTTAAACTATTTAATAATTTTGCTCAAAAGGTAAATAACATTTTTTATTAAAGAAAACAAAATTACATTTCAGAGATACTTGTCAAAATTTTAATGGGTAGAGTGCTACCAGCACTAAAAAAAAAGAAATGAAAAAAGAAGAAAAGAAATAAAGAAAATTATTAATTTATCTTTTAACAAACACCCGAATATTCTTATAATTTTACTTTTGGAATACGTTGGTCCACAGACCACATTCTTGTTACAGCTTACCAAATGAAAACCAAAATTTCTTATTGCCGTCCCTGTAACAGGAATGGTTCAGTTTTAAACCTCCTTTAAAAATATACATTTTACAATCCTTTCACCTCAACAAAGGTGACACTGACAATAAATACATTGGTTTGGTGGGTTTTTTCCTTCACTATGAAAAGTCTACAAACTACCTATTGTACGCCCTTTCTTTTTTAGATTTCTCCAATGCCTTGTCCATAGTTTTCTCATTTTCTCCTCTACATTTGGGGCAGTACCATTTGCCCTTTGGTTTATGGTTGAGTCCCACACAAGAGAAGTGAAACCATTCAATGGGGCACTCATCATTATCACATCCTATCATTTCTCCATAGGAGACTTGGTTGCACAAGCAGTATGTTGGCTCATTAGGGTCAATAGGAAGGTCAGGAGGAGAAGCTTCCCGCTCTGCTTTAGCCTTGGATCGTTTCTTCTTCTTGGATGTTTTTGCTTTCTTCTCCTTTGGTGTTCCTGAGGTGATGTCATCATGATCATGATTATTGGAGGCATTTTCTCGATTCTCATTATTCCTTTGCCTCCTTGATCTCTTGTTGTTGGGCTTTTCAGCCTGTGCGATTGTCTCATTCTTTGACTTATCCTGGCTGGCTTTCCCGCTGTTTCCAGTGGTGTCATTAGTCTCTTGACAAGTCTCAAACAGTTCCACGTGGCTGTCCACTTGCCTTGTTCTGTTCTCAACAAGCTCCACCATCTGACTGACGATTTGGATCTTCTCGTCCCCCAGTTCCTGACTTCGAATCAAGGCTCTCTGTATGCAGTGTAACATTCTTCTCTTCTGCACAGCATCTGTCTCCCGTTTAAATTTTTCATAGTAATCATCCAGGTCCTTCAGAATCTCTGCAAAGAAGAAATAAAAACTATAAATATTTTTGACAGAGAGAATGGTAAAACAAAACCTCCCATTTTTCCTTCCATACAGCAGTAACTTTTTGTAACATGCAGTGCTGATCAAAGACAGATGCCCTGAAGCTCATATCTGACAAGCGGCTCATGGCTCCACTGGACAATTTTTGTTCTAGTTGGTCCCACAGGAATGAAATGCAAATCCTGATTTAGAAGAAAAAAAGTGACTAAATGTATTTTTATGTATGTTGATAATACTTCCCTTTAAACTTTTCAGTAATTAAAAAGAACTAACTAAACCAATACACGTACCATCAAAAGTTCCAAGGTTAACTGCAAAATTAGAGGGGAAATTAATGGACATTTTCTGTACAATAACATCTTCAGTGACTGACAGAGTGGGAGAAAGAATGGGACTGAAAGAAAAACAAACCAGTGTAGAAGTACGCTGCTGGGTTATTTAACAGGAGAGGCAGAAGCACCAAATACATGGTCTGGACCCAAAGCTATTTCAGCCAATACTGTCAAGCTATTTCTGCTGAAAATCTGAGGCCATGTAAATCCCTGGATTGCAAAATTAGGACTACAATATCCAGGATGTTTAGATTATTTCCTACCTATACTTCCTGTAAAATACACGTTGCTACTTTTAAAACACAGAAATATTATCTTCATTAAATATTTACTGCAAAGCAGGAGGTAAAGTTGAAAGATAACATTAAAGATGATAGGTAACAATGGGAAGAGCTAGAGATTCTGCTTTAAAATATGTTACATCCTGAACTGCACCTCAAAGATGGCTCTAACAGTTCTAAAAAACAACAATGCACAAAATATCTAAAGCTTCAAGAATGGCTCTGGGAACTTATTTTTAAGAAGATGTTTTTGAGTTTCATTATGATACAAAAGTCAACTACAATATACAGGACACTCAGAACTCCATATTAAGCCCTCAAAAACACACAAAATGTTTTTCTTGCATCTCCTTTCTTCTCTGAAATTTCCCTATTTCACAGATTAGAACAATCTTGTCTTAGAGGAGCAAAATATACTGAGATATAAAATCTGACCTCAATTTATCTAACAGGAACCAGGATCTCTCATACGTGCCATTGGTGTTACCAAAACTTTTTTAAACTTACATTTATTTATTTATTAATAAGAGAATATGACACATATGCAAACCAAGAGTTATTCTGTGGTTTAGGTTTTGTCTTTCCTGGGCAGTTTTTAAACACGTATGCTTTCCACTGAAGGCACGGAAATATTATATAAGCTTTACTTTAGTTTTTAGACCAGCAGCTTGTGCTTCACACATTGGTTAAGCACAACCTGTCAGCTGGTTCTGTAATATAACCTATCTGACCAAATCAGTATTCCAATATGCTGTTAACCATTTTAAGCAACTGGTGATTTTTTTTTTTACCTAAAAAAAAAATACCGAAACAAAACAACAATAAAAAGATACCAAAAAGAAATCCAAACCCAAGATGCCACCAAAAGATCTTTCAAACATACAGCAGACTTCACACTCAGGAAGGCTGAGAAAGCAAAGTTAATAGTTTTCAGTGGCTGAAATGCAGAAGTTTTATGCTTTAAGCTTTGGCACTTGACTGATGTCATCAGTTTAACCCATCAGAATCTGGTGGGTGGGCATCTTCCAGGAAGAACAATCTGTCTCAACAGCATAAAACCATTGCCGACTGAAGTTCGGCGTTGAGAAAACTTCGGTTCTGGCCCTGCACCCTGCCATTCCGCCCGGCAGCAGCTCCGGGCCCGGCGCTGCTGTGCGGGAGCAGCGCTGGCTGCGGGCTGCGATCCCGCAGAGCGCCGCCGAGCGCGGCCCGGCACGGGCGTGTTTGGTATGTGAGACACGGAGCGGGAGCTGCCGCAAAGCCGGGGATGCTCAGCACCGGCGTCGGGAGCGCGCTGCCCGCTCGGGGCTCAGAGAGCCATCGGGGCGGCCGTGCCGCGCTCGGGGCTGGCTGGAGCCGCCCGCCTCGGCTGCCTCAGTTCGCGGCAATCCCAGGAAACCGCGCTCCCGCCCCGTGCTGCGAACAGCGGGAGCGGAAAGCCGCGCTCTGAGCCACTGGCACTGAACGCACTCTCCTGGCATCACGAACGCCACTCACTCGGGGAGAAACCATGCGGCCAGAGCATTAATCCCAGCGCAGCTCCGCAGCCTCACGGGGGCTCAGACACCTCGGAACGAGGGCGAGCGGGACACGGGAGAGGGCCCG